GGGGGAAACCTCCAAAAAAATTACAAATTTAAAAATCGCTAATTTTCGAAATTTTTTCAATTTTTTTTTTACTAAAAACTGCCGTAACTTTTTAAAAATTAACCTATCAATATAATTCTTTTTTATATAGATGCATAATATTATTACCTTTCATTTGATATATTTTTTTCATAAATTTAACCCTTAACCTGCCCACAAGGGGGGATTTAAAATGACAACTTTTTCACAAAAAATTTACTTTTTCAACTTAACTTTTGAAAATGTTACGGAAGGTCTGACACTTTTATATATATCTTAAATTAAAGCTAATGTAATGTACTTTTATTTGAAAAAAAAAAAATTTGACCTCTGGACTTGTCTTCGTGGTGAAAACGGCTACCGAATGCTATTTTTGTGTGAAAATTCTCGATTTTATTATTTACATTATATTTAACTTTATAATGCTATAACTTATTGAAAAGTTTATGGATCCACACAATTTTTTTATGATAAATAATATTTTTTAATAAACCTTTTTTCATTCGACATATTTTATCTTAATCAAGATATTAATAAGGAACCAGCAGATCAAGTAGCTTTTGGAATAAAACACCAATTTTTTTAAAATTAAACACTATCTAAAGATTTGCATCGAAGCGTTTAATTTTGATAGTGATTTTAATCACTGTCAGATATCATTATACTTGATCCATCTATGCCACGTCACCACTGTGCTGAGTTTTTTTTAATTGTCATTTGAAATTAAAACAACGTTATTTAAAGTTTAAATTCAACATACTTTCCTGAATATAATGGAAATAATTATATAAAACCCAAAAAAATGAATTTACATCATGTTATTTGTATATTTTTCTGTACTCGATTTTGATGAATTTTAAATTAAAAATAAATACATTAAAATTAATTTTTACAATAATAAGTATTCGATGTTTTTGTAATCAATAACATAACAATTATATTATAAATTATTTCTAATTATTAGGAATGTTTAGCAAAAAAAAGAATTTTACATTACAAAATATGAATATTTAAAGTTGTTTGATATCAACTTTGATTAATTGTGTCTGAGTTATATATTTTATTTAATAAATAAAATGTAAAATAATTTTTAGATTTGATATAATTCAAAAGAATATTCCTAAAGGTATTTGAAATAATATTCTACCTAAGTATAAAATTCAAAATACCTGCGTGACTCAGTTGAAGTTAATTTATGCCCACTTACAGTTTTGTATGTTTGCAAAGCGGTGAAAATTTCAAGAAGATATTTTCAAATTCATAACATACACCTTAAAACTAATTTTTATAATAATTGTCATAATACCTATGAAAAAAATAATATTTTTTGATTTTATGACGAAAATAATTTTATATTTGATTATATTGTATTAAAAAGTCCGATTATGTGGCTGAGTCGGTCACGTAGAAGTGCCTGATTTGCACTGTCCCGAAAAAAAATATTGTAGTAAAATCAGCAAAATAACAAGAAAAATTTTTATTTTTTTAATTGTTTTCGTGAATATTTATCCTAATAATCAATAAATATAAACATGAAATGGGTTGCTGTGAAAATCCATTTTTAACTTTTCTAAGTAAGGCAAGCTTGAGCTATATATAACATTTTTTGCTCTCATATCAATAATATTTCTGTTAGTGTTATGAAACATCCTAGATAACTTAAAAAACACACAGGTTTTAAAATAAAAAATATATTTTCCTAACTAATTTAGTTGTATTTAGTGTACGGATTATAATGTTAAAATGAATTAAAATATTAAATTTTTATAAAAAATATTATTTGATTATAAATAGTTGTACTAGTACAATTACTAAAAAATAAACCTTATAATTAACTAAGAGCATAGCCTATGGAGTTGTCAGGATGATTTTTTTTCGTAATTACTCGATGTAACCAATTAAAAATTGTATAATCTATTCAAGTTTTCTTAAGGGGACAGGAAGTAACTTCTTAATTTGTCAATACATATATAGTCCATATTTTATGAATCACCTAAATAATGCTAAGGTATGTCAACTGGCTCCACTAAAAAAATCGCCTTACACCACGCCTGTAGTAAGATGACGAATTTGACTTTATCTTCTGAATAATTAATACATATTAAAATAATTAATATTAGTTAACAAGCTTTTTACCGATAATTGGTAAAAATTGAGATCAAATATTGGTCTCAATACATCAAGTATTATTTCTACTAACGCCTTTTACTGGCATAACCGACTAAATTGTGTAGAACTCAAAAATAAAGCCAGTAAACCTAAATTTTTGACCGGTAGTATGCATTTGTAATTTGACTTAAATAGACAGGAACTATTATTGTATTCATTATCTTGATCATTTCTAAAATGTAAAAGTAATTTCGATATTTATGAATTTAGTTTTTAAATAATATTATTTAAGTAAACTTATATTAAAGATAAGGATTTGGATAAGGCTTAGGATTAAAAATTAAACGAAGCCTAAGATTGATGTTTTATTTAAACTGTACCTTGAATAATGTTTTTTTATTCAACTATTAAAAATAATCTGTTTTTATAATAAATTATTAATAAAGGATTAAAAAAGACATGTCTTCAATTTTATTTTCTGATATTATAATTTAAATTGGAAGTTAAATTTCACATAGTATTATTTTGTCCAATAAACGCTTAAAATTATAATTCTTATGTTAAAAATGAAATTTTTTCTTAAAATTTTAAAAATATTTCATAGACACCTTTAAAACATTGTGGCGTAATAAATTGACCTATTGTTAGTATTATTTAACAGACTCTAAGTTAATTATATAAGTAATTGGTGAACATCACATAATTAAGTGTAACTGCTCAGCATTTGGTAGTGCGGCGTTAATGTCTAAGTGGCGTTAATTTCGTGGTGAATCAATACCATTTTGAACATTAAAATTCAGAAATAGCTTAATTAAACGGTCCTTAATAATTTAGTCACACATTCCCATTTATATTTCTCTTGTTGTTCAATCACTATGAATCGTTCGTTATAAATTGTCATGGTGATAAGAAGCCGCCCAGCTGACCAATACAATACTATTAACTATGCACACACTGATGTCCGTGTGGCCTTCTCCTTCCGGTTTACAATGTGTCGTCGTTGAATACATATCTCCAGCAATCTACTTATTGTTTCTTTTGTATACTTAACATTTCCATGGCAACCTAAACTATACTTTTGACCATGTCGATCGAACCATGGATGAAGTATCGTTTGTTGACTATGGCTTGGACATTATTGTAATATGATTGTAGTAACTTTTGTACAACATCCCTTTTTTTCTTTCGCCTATTAAATTTCCCTTTGTTCGTACATTGTCACATGGTTTTATTTGAACATGGACTTTCATTAAATCAATATACTTTAATTATTTTAATATGATTATTCTATTCTATCCTATCTTTCTGACTCATTTTGCTCATTGAATCAGTTAATTTTACGACATCAATTAATTTGTACATTCATACATTATCAATTTTGTCACGTCGAGTGTAAAAACCCTCACAT